AAATTAAACCAGATTTTAAACATGTGTTCACAAGGAAAAGATTTTGTTACAATTCTACAATATTTTATGAATATAGTGGCTAAGTTAGGATATACATGGCGATGGTTTTTCCACCACGGTTATGGACAGTTCCAATCTCCGTTCGAAATTTATTGTGGGTAATATATTATCAGACAAATACATGTCGACTTCTTGTATATCTCTCGATACAGTTGTATGTTTAGATGAGTCATGTCCAATTAATTCATCAAAAATACACAATGGACTTAAGTCATCTTTATCAGTTTCTTTTTCTTGACTAAACTTATTGATTTACTAAACTTATGCAAAGACTCGTTTCATCCGTTTTCTATAGGTGAAGAACCAGCTTTTAAAAAGTTTGCAGGGTGGATTCCTGGATATAAACCACCAACAAGAAAAACTGTTAGATTCATTACTTCAGGAATGTTATGTCAAAATTGATTTGATAATAGATAAAATAAAAAGTCCTTTTTTCGACAATTCTGCAAAAAAACATTAAAAAAAAGTACCTTATCTTCAGAAAGGCTTTTAAAGTATTAATTACAACATAACAAAGTTCCCAAACGGCCAATCCAAGACGTGGAAACTAGGTAGAACTTCACCTATTACAGGTTAAAAAGAATGACTGAGTTAGAAGAGGCAATCCGTTTCAGTTCTTCTTCTTTAAGTTCCATCTTCTATCGAAGGTTGGAAATCATCATGGCTATGCCGACTCTGTTGACTGCCGCTCTAAAAAGGTCTGCACTACTGCATTCAAACCATTCCCTTAAGTTCTTAAGCCAGGATATTCTTCGTCTTCCCACATTTCGCTTTTCTCGGATTTTGCCCTGCATAATAAGTTGTAATAATGCGTATTTTTGCCCTCTCATCACATGTCCCAAGTACTCAAGTTTTCGTCTTTTAATAGTTAATATTATTTCTGCCTCATTTCCTATCCTTCTAGTTACTTCAATGTTTGACATTTTTTGAATCCATGATATTCGTAGGATTCTTCTGTAACACCAAAATTCAAAGGCGGCCAACTTATTCAGATGAACTTGTTTTAGTGTCCAAGCTTTCAGACCATAAAGAAGAGTAGAGAACACGTAACATCGAAGCATTCTCAGGCGTAGTTCTAACCTTATATCCCGACAACAAAGAAACTTTTTAAGTTTAATAAATGATGTACGTGCTATTTCAATACGTGTCTTAATTTCTTTGGTTTGGTCTACATCTGATGTTATCCATGTTCCTAAGTATTTATAGTCATTAACACTCTTAATTGCAGTATCTTCAATAGTCAATTGGATATTTGTGCAGATTTAGTCATGATCATGCATTTAGTTTTCTTTAAATTTATCTTCAGTCCGTACTCATGACAGCGTTCATTAAGGCGTTGCATTAGGTTCTGTAAATCATTGTTGTTATCCGTAATTATTACTGTATCGTCTGCAAAACGTAAGTTATTCAAAACTTCTCCATTGATAGATATACCTTCTATTGAGTCTGAGAGCGCTTCTTAAAATACCGATCACTGTAGACATTGAAAAGTAGTGGGGACAGCACGCAACCCTGGCGGACTCCTCTCTGTATTTTGATATTTTCGGTGTACTGGCGTGTATTTCCGTTCCACATCGGTATTAAATAATACATACTTAGACTTAGACCAAATCTAAATAAAAAACACTGGATTATTTGTTCTCAGCTTTCCCAAATTTTACGGCCGTTTAAAGAAATAACAAGTACAATGAGTGACCAAAAATACTTGAAGGGTAGTTCAGTCATTGTTATGGTACGCGGCCTGCAAGAATCTTGCAAGAAAATTTTAGCAAACGGTAACCTTACATCCATAGTATCCGACGTAGTACAATTACTAATATCGGGTTTAGCAAAAATATTTAAAGGGATAGAACAGAGTGGCATATTGTCATTATGTACATTTATGGATTCACCATTTAAAGTGCAGGGTTTTTCTGATAAAAATGAAGATAAAAAAATAAAAGAAAAAGTTAAGAAGCTGGTTACTTCTATAATTAACGAACAAGAATATTGTTGTATTGAAAATCAACCAGTACAAGAAAAAGAAACCAATAAAGATGACTTAAATCCATGGTGTATATTTGATCAATTAATTGGAGATGGCTCATCTACACGTACACCTGTATCGAGAGTCCATTACAACGGTGGAAAAACCATCGCCATGTATATCCTAACTTAACCCCTATATTCATACAGTATTGTAAATGTGAACACATGTTCAAAATTTGGTTTAATTTGAAATAAAAAAAGAAGACGGTTAATAAGAAGTAGGTATAGTAGAAAAACTTATGTTTTTTAGTGTCAATTTAGACTATTCGCGATTTAATAATAACGTGTAATGTAAATGTAAGTACGATTTACTATTTGTATTGTTTAGTTTATTTTTCAAGTTATAATAAATATATCATTAGTTTCTTTCACTTCAATAAATATACACATAAACGATAATAGCCATTATGTTTGTTTATGTAGGTACTCTCTTACTTGAAACTACTTTTAAACAATCATAGTTACTTGTTTACAAAAATTTAAATTTTTAAATTCATTCATTTTTTTTGGAATCCTGAGAAAACTAACAAATATTTTTAAAAAATTTAAATGCAGAATAAAAGATTACATTATTACCGAGGGCCGAAAGTCCCTTAGAATAAACAAAAAGTTTTTTGAATGAGATATTTGAAATTAAAAATCACACTAATTTTTTTTTCGCCCTTATAACTTATTAAAATAAACATTATAGAAGTTTTCAGGGACTTTTGGCCCTCGGTAATAATGTATTGGTTCATTCTGCGTTTAAATTTTTCAAGAATATTTATTAGTTTTATCAGGATTCGAAAAAAATGAATGCATTTAAAAAATATTAATTCGAAATTTTATGCCTACGCTCTTAACGATAAAATTACCACGACCCACCTCTACTACCCGTTACTCGGTGTTCTGACCAGACGGACGACGTTGCCAAATAAATTATTGTGTATGAATATTTTTTAATGTGTTGTTATTGTATGCAGTTTATTATTTCATATTGGGAATAAGGCACAATGTTACTTTAAAATAAGCTTATTTTGATGTTTAGATTTTTAATTCGGAAATCGTACTTAAAATACGAAACATTAATAAATTTTATTTATATAAAACGATTTCCAAAGTGGAAATCAAAATGTTATATTACACTTATTGTAAAGTAAACTTGTGGCATATTCCCAATAAAAAAAACAGTAAGCTGCCATTTAAATCAATTTCGCCCAAATTGGATTATCTTAGAACATTGTTCAAATGCAAAAAAAAAACAACAGGTCAAATAAATCCAATAAGTTTGGCAACGTTGAACTCCCCCTTTCCAGGAATGCATGTTTGGCGATATAAAGGGCGGACCTAATATACCTCTCTCTTTCTAAACAGCTGTTTCTCACTCCATCTCACGTAAGGTCCATACCGACCATAAAATTCTTCCTACACTGTATATATAAATATATATATATACATATATATATATATATATATATATATATATATATATATATATATATATATATATATGTATATATATATATATAATATATATATATACATATATATATATATATACATATATATATATATATATATATATATATATATATATATATATATATATATATATATATATATATATATATTGTTATGATATGTAAAATCGAGAAAAATATTGGTTTGCTTAAAATATTTCAAAGTTAACAGTCAGTTGGTTTTCCAAGTGTGCAAGCCGAACAGTCATTGTTCTCTGGTGGTTCCCGAAAGGTAGCAAGCAGTAGTGTTGAATGTTAGTGAGTTTTTGTGGAGTTAGTGTATCTGACAGAAGCTGATCCAGCAAAATATTGTAAGTCATATTTTTCTACTTATATTCCAAGAGTCACTGTTCAGGGCCAACGAGAGATTCAGTTTATCGTAAAGAGAAGATATTCCAAGAGTTATTTTTCACTCAGGCCAACGAGAGATTCAGTTTATCGAGAGGAGAAGAGGCTAGCATAATTTGAACGATTCGTGCATTTGAAGAAGATCATTAAGGACGATAAACTTGCAACAATTTGTTGTAAGATTGCTGATTACCTAGGGAGCTGCTAAGAATAGCTAGTGTAGGCTACAAGGAACAAGGATTTGGACCACTCATCATCATAGAGAGATAGTTTTGTTTTTCTGCAGTTTTTCTTTTATTGATAACACAATTTTTACAATTACTTTAGAAAATATATAACTATTTTGATTAGGAGATTTAGAATAATAATTGGAATTTTGAGATTTTAACTAATATTGTTTGTACCATTAATTTTGAAGGTTCACGTATGTAGAAAAAATTTTGAGAATAATTATATGAGATATTGTTTATTGAAAACATTTGAGTGTGAATGTTATTTCATTATTTTTATTTCAATATATAATGTTATATGTATATATCATATGTGTTTTTTATTATTCCGGTATTCTTTGGACCTTACCTTTCACATGTAAAGCATAGATTTTGAAGCACGAATATAACCCTGAGATAAGAGAATTTTAAAGTGTGATAGAATCATAATCATATCATTTAAATAATTTTAATTAATTAATTAGCTAATTAATTGCTAGGCGCACTAAAATTTTGAATATCACAATAATATATATATATATATATATATATATATATATATATATATATATATATATATATATATATATATATATTATAATAAACCACAGAAGTATTTGCTGACAACGTAAGGAAGTAAACTTTAAATATTGGGTTTGCAGCAATATATATATATATATATATATATATATATATATATATATATATATATATATATATATATATATTTATATATGTATAATAAACCACAGAAGTATTTGCTGACAACGTAAGGAAGTAAACTTTAAATATTGGGTTTGCAGCAATATATATATATATATATATATATATATATATATATATATATATATATATATCAACTTACAGTATATACAGTTCTTAAACCCCTTTCCCACCTTCTAGCGGTTGCTTTCATGTGATTAGAGCTTATGATTTCTTCTGCCGTTGGTGGGGTGATGAAGTCCGTTCCCACTATCCGTTTTATTATCGCTCGAAACGAATCAGAATCTAAAAGGTAAAGGTAAATTCGTTAATAAGTACCTCTATTCTATAGTGATGTGTCTACGTTGTCCAGTGAATTTTTTACAGGATATTTAAATAGTCAAATAGATCACCACGTTATTACTTTTTCACCTTAAATAGTCAATACTTACACATTATTAACAATGCATCGTAGTCACGTTCACGTTGTTGAGAACGGTTAGAATCAAGTTCTACAGTCGAGTACAAGCTTATTAAATCCACTAATGTTGTCCCCAAGTCGAGGATGTCTCGTGTAAATTTTATTTTGGATTTTAGATTTCTGGTCGATCGACCTTTGGTTAAGGTCAGTTTTTGTGTTGTGCTTTCAGGTTGCTATAAAATAAGTTAAAATTTTAAGTTGTTGATTACAGTACAATGCAATTTACATCTGGATTTGACTTCAAAAAGTATTGAAAATAAATAACACTTTAAAAACAATAAAAAAAATTGAACTGCTGAAAGAACAGCACGATTGCAAAACAGGAAATATTTTTTTTTTATTTTCTTATTAAACACAAATTTACAATCTAATCCTTAAAATATAAAATATATAAAAAAAAACAAGTAAAGGTGTTAGGAGTTGTCGTCTCGTGGTGTAAACAACACTACAACAATACTAATTGGTTTTCATGATCCTATTTTTGCATTTTTCTCCTCGTGATCGAATTTCGTCATTAATGCATAGGTTTTTTTTTAAAAATTCATCTATTAGGTACTAAGTTGGAGATGGACCACGTGCGTTTATTATGGTGCGTAGGGTTTTAAACTGTATTGTTTGGTATTTGGTGACTTGGTGCATCTGCAGAGTTCAGTACTGTATGTTTAAATTGGCTTTAAAATTGCCTTATATCCAGTTATTTTTCTAGCAATTGATAATTGTGACTGTTTTGTGATAAGCCAATTCATTTGTCTAGTTTTTAAGACCTTGAAGTGTGCTCTCCAAGTAAGTTTTTAGTCTTAGTGAAGTCCTAGATATTTTAGTTCTGCTTTTATTGGAATTACTGTATTGTTAAAGGGGACTTGAAGACATTTGTTACGCCTTATGATAAATAAAAAATGAGTAAAAGGTAATTTGAATAGACTTGCCGCTGTTAACTTTTATTATGCAAGCCTTCAGGTGTCAGGAGTGGCTTCACATTAGCTAAGAGTATTGCAGTGTAATCTGTAAATGTTGTTGCGATGTGATTTCTGTTTGAGGCTTACCTGGTTTAGGGATAAGAATAATTTGCTCAAATTTTCAATAAATTGAATAGTAACACAGGCTATTATAAAAGTGCTCCTTTGCATGTGAGTTGTTTTAAGATTTCTTCTGCAGTGAGGTCATATCCTGAGGCTTTACGTGGGTCGATACATTTTATTTCTTCTCTTACTTTTCATGGTTTGAGAAGTCTCATTGGTAAGTAAATCGGATAAGGACTATCTAAATAGAATTTTACTTCATCATCAATAACGTAGCCGTTGGGTTCGGTTGGAGTGTTAGAGTGGAGTAATAATACATGCAAGAATTATTCGAAGATACAGAAAAGGACGGACTCAAATAGACAATCCCCACGGCCCAGAAATAACAAACAAAAAAGTAACTATGGCCATTAAGCGAATTAAAGATCAGGAAATCAACAAGGCCTGAAGTACATGGTAAAATTTTTAAGCTAATAGAGGCACACCAAATCACAGCTCTTCCGAAGCTATTCAACAACATATAGGAGACTGGTCACTTACCAAAAGACTGGTTACTATCAATATTCATTTCATTTCCCAAAAACCACCGCTAGGAAATGCAATATGAATGTAATATGCTGAATGAAATTGTAACACTAGCAAAAGAACAACAAGGTTTTTGCTACTGTTTTACGCTATATTTATTATGCAGCAAGTTTATATGCAGCAAGGGCCAAAGAACTCATTAATATACAACAAACTGGCATATCTATCTTTCGTGGACTTTAAGAAGGCATTTGACTGGGTCCATTTATTGTACGCAATAGAGATACCTTTAGGAATAATTAAAATGATCAAAAATATCTACCAAACCAACACAATAAAAGTAAAAAAGAAGATCCTTATTGAAACTGGCAATGGGATAAGACAGAGCTAATAAAGGATATCAAATGGGAGAAAAACATGGAAAAAACAAAACACGAGAGCAAATTTACTAAAATGTATATTGGAGCTGGAATATCAGATAATAGAACAAGTGATGGCGTTTAAATATCTAGGCATCACATTATCTAGGTTTGGAAAGCTCGAAACATATGTGAAAGATCAAGTAAATAGAGCAAACAGAGCTGCTGGTTGCCTAAATGAAGCAATATGGAAAAATAAAAATATCGGGAAAGAAATGAAAGGTTGAATTTACAAAATAGTCATCAGACCAATAATAGCATTCGCGGCAAAAACACAGCCTGACACAGGGAGTACAAAAAGAATGTTAGAAACAGCAGGAATGAAAACACTTGGAAAAATTGATGGTAAAACACTATGGGACAGAGCTAGAAGTACAGATTTACGACGTAGATGCAAGGTGGAGAACATCAAGGACTTGATATGAAATAAAAGAGTAAAATGGAACGATCATATAAGACAAATGACAACAAGTAGAGTAGTAAAGACGGCAAACGACGGTTTACCAATAGGAAGACGATCAGTAGGAAGACCACCAAAACGATGGAACGACAACTTATTGAGTCAAGTCTACATAAAAAGAAGAAGAAGAACAGGACGAAATGTAAAGAACATAAATTAATTTGTTTGATAAGCCTGTACCTAAAGTACTCCTTACTATCATTCACTTGCGCATATACACCAAATTAAAACAACTAAGTGAAGTTCAATTTGGATTCACAGCAGGACTCGGTACAAGCGAAGCACTTTTCAGTTTACAAGTTCTAATACAAAGAGCCAACTCTCTGTATTGCAGCATAACTGCGATGTGTATACATGTTTCATTGATTTCGAGAAGGCATTCGACAAAGCAACACATGAGAAACTAATCGAGATCTCAAGATCTAAGACTAATCTCAACAGTGCGATTCGAAAATGAACTGTCCGAGATCTTCACATTCGGAAAAGGAGTTTGACAGGGTTATGCACTGTCACTAGCATTATTTAACATATACTCTGAAAATATCTTTAGAGAAGCCTAGGATGCATTAAAAGACGGTATTGCAGTAAACGGCGAATTTATAAATAATATTAGAGATGCAGACGATACCATATTACTGGCAGATATGCTTTTGGGCTGAAATATTAAGAATACCTGGGATCATAGCTATGAAATAAAAACTGAAAAAGCCAGCTCTTTTAACGGTCTTACGAAGATTCTCTGCAACTTATCTTTAAGTATCAATATACGCGTAAGAATTCTTAGATGTTATGTCTTGAGTGTCCTCTTCTTCGGAGTAGAAAACTGGACTCTTACAGAAGATGCCATAAAACAATTCTAGACATTTAAAATGTAGTGCTACCGACGTATGTTAAGAGTCTCATACATACACCACATAACTAACCTAACTATTCTCTAGAGGCTAAGAAAAGTCAAAGAAATTACATAAACACCGTAAACAACAGAAAAGTGGTTTGCTTTGGTCACATTATGTGTAAATTTTCTGCCTCAATCAAATAAGATTCAGGACAAGAGAGGTCCTGGACATAGAGTTATTCCTTGCTAACCAATCTTGAGAAATGGATTGGTCTAACGTCAACTAATCTATTTCGAGCTGCAGTAAATATAATAAGATAGGTCAATGTAGTCGCCAACATCACTAAGAGATAGGCACCTTTAGAAGAAAAAGAAAAAGTGTACAGCAAAGACGTTTGCTTTTTCACCATCTGATTGAGCCCAACTATTGTCAGATTTTTCGAGTGTACGTGACCTCAATGCTTAGTTTTCACGTCCTTGGTCCTTTTGGATTTATCTGAAGAGTAGGTACCTGAAAGCGGTTATACTATTCTATCCATGATTCGTGGCGTATCGTTTGTGAATGGGTACTGTAACAGAAAGTGGTTAGTGTGGGTTAAGTTAAACAAAAAGAAGAAAGAAAATAATGTGTAAAGTGTGCAATGCCAAATGTTTTGTCATCACACACTTTTTTATGTATATTCAGGTGCAAACCTTCGATCCATGACATACTTCTTATTTATTGCTAGTTTTAAAACTTAGGACCTGTTTTATGGCACATATAAATTTAGAAAAACACTCGTTTAAGTACAATTATTAATTTTTATCATGGAGTTTATTTATACGTCCATGATTTCTATACATTTTTTTTTCAATTTTTTTATAGCATTTCTTATAAATAATAGAAATTTATGTTTTTATCAAAAATTTCGATAAGTAGCAAGAAATAAATTATTTGTTATTGTACTGATTTTAACAACCAGACCAATTTGAGTTCATAATTTTTAGTTGTATTAAAATGACGTTAACACCAACGAATGTTACAAGATTCGTGGCTTTAGTACAAGATGGTCATAGCTAATATTATGCTGCCCAGTTGCTAGGTGTTAGTTGTTGTACTGTTCAAATAGCCATTCGGCCGTTCATTTAAAATGCCAACTACACTAAGGTTAGAATCAGGTCGTAGGAGAGCAACATCCGCACGCGAAGATCGATTTGTGGTTTCTTCGTGTTTAAGAAATAGACATCTAACTTCAATTTGATCTGGCAAATCACCTAAATGAAGTCCGAAACGTGGAGAGTCTACGTATGTGAACAGTTCGTCGACGACTTCATGAAGCGAATTTATTATCCAGAAGACCAAACCTACATCCACTGCTATCCGTGGAACACCGCATAGCTCGACTTTGCTTTTGCAAGGGAACACGATAATTGGACTTGGAGTAACGCAGATGGAGTATCTAATGTTTTCTTCTCGGATGAGTACAGGTTTTGCTTGGGGTTACCAGACGGTCGCGAAAGAATCTGGAGAAGACAAGAAGAACGATTTACACAATGCAATATTGCCGACAGAATAAACTATCGAGGAGGCTCAATTATGGTTTGTTCTGGTATAAGCTTCGATGCACGTACTGACATAGTTCTTGTGGATAGTGGTACTATGACAGAGTCAGGTATATAACAACCATTTTAGATAAGCTTGTGGCACCTTTTGCGCCATTCCTAGGACCTATTTCATTTTTATGGATGATAACGCGCGTCCTCTCCATGATAGAATCGTCAATGAATATTTAGAAACGTCGAGATTGTCCGTATGAATTGGCCAGCTTCCAGCGCAGTCCTCAATCCAACCAAACATCTGCTTGACCCACTGAAAAGACGAACTCAAGCTCGGTTACCCCGTCCATACAACTTGCCAAAGCTACTTTTCATTTTT